GCTTCCTTTTCCTTTGAGATCTTAAAAAAATAATTGTTGGAAAGTCTTTTGATAAATTTTTAAGTTGTTTGCATCTTTAAAAAAAGCTTAGTTTCTGAGGAATGCCCTGCTGTCAGGAAACAAAAGTTTGGCAACTTAAACTTTGTTTGTTAGAGTTAAGTTCATGTAGGTCAATCTGTTTTTTTTTGCTTGTTGATAAAATGCACAAATTTAAGTCCACTTCTGAAACTTTCATTGACAAATAAATTGGCAAAGAGACTCTATATAAGACTATATCTGTGCATTTCATCAACTCTCTCTCTCGCTCTGCTCTCTCTCTCTCTCTCTCTCTCTCTCTGCCGGTGGATCAACTCTTTGCAGTGTGTCAACAAAAACAAAAACTTTGTAACTAAGTCAATTTCTCGTAAGCATTTTAAGTTCCCATTTGTTTGTTGGGTCGACCGATTTAGCCACTGGCATGGGCTCTATTTGCCAACAATTGTTTGTGGCTTGCGGTGGCTTCTGCTGTCAATCCCATGAGTCGAATTCAAAATGCAAAATGTCATGACATCAAGTGGCTTTTGCTGCGCTTTGATTTGAATATTTGAAATTTCAAATGCCCAACCACATTGTAAATAACATGAAAAGCGCAGCATGTGCAGTAGTGTAAAATAGAAGAAATCTAACTATTGAATTGCCTTTTAAATTTAAAGAGATGCGGCAACATTTGGCTTAGCAACATGTTGCCAAACAAGACATGCGCCTATCTCCCTACATTTATTTAGCATGCACATACTAAGCTAGCTATTAAAGTGCCTTCTTAATTTAAAGAGATGTGGCCATGCAATAGTTTGCTTAGTCTCATGTTTAAAATGTTAGGTTAAGCCTTTCTCTGAATATTAAGCACCTTCTAAACTACTCCTTGAACTAAGCAAAAAATAACCTCAATTGAAAATATTGAATATTTATATGAGCTGCATTTACTAAAAAAAGATTAGACAAATTAGACCTAATTCAGAAACTTTTTGCTAGAATCGCGCCCAAAAACCTTAAGAATCTCTATTAAAACGAATGAGGTTTGAAACTTCTTCCCCACTTTTCTCTCTGTGTAGTAATAAACTATACAGATACTTTTCTTTCCATTGAATTTAATTTTAGTCAAAACTTAATAAAACTGAAGCTTGCAGAATTTCAAATAGAGCAGAAGTATAAATTAATTTGAAAATCCGAGTTTGGTCAACATCGAATGTTGCGATTTGAAATGATTCGCAACATGACTTAGAAACATTTGAGCTTAGCAACACGCATAATTAGCAACATATGTGGACAGCTTTTATAAGGTATAGCAAATATATGTATGGAGGACTGATATCAGAAGCCGAGCTTAGCCAGCGATAATCACAACAATAACACAAACAACATTCATAAATGTGCTGGAATTAATGAACTGCACATTGTCAAGTCTATATACATATATAAATATGTAAGTATGTGTGTGTATTTGCATTATGCAGTTGTGTGTATGTGATGTACGCTAAGTATCTGTGTGCTGCATAAATGCAAAATAAGCTACATTTCATAATTGAATAACATTCAACTGCTTGTGCGTGTGTGTGTGTGTGGGTGTGTGTGGGTGTGTGTGGGTGTGTGTGCACACTCTGATAAGCACGCATTCAGCAATGTTTTTGGAGTTCGTATAGTGCACTCGCTTCCCATGCACAAATTTGAACTCGTCAAATATTTGGACCGTATATTATTTCATTTTGTTTATTTGTGTTGGTTGTTGTCATGCTGTGTGTGTGTGCGTGTGTGTGTGTGTTGAGTGCTGTAAACAGACAATTTCTAATTTTAATACAGTGTGGCTTATGAATAGCCCTCAAAGCGGGTCATCTGATAATTTTATACAAACTTATCAGCAAATTGTGACCAATTGAAAAACAATAATCACATAAACATTGTGGTCATATATAATTGGCACTTTGACCGGCCCGATAATAAAAGTTAAGCGCTTTTTTCACACTCGTGCGTAACTCATATTGAATGAGTTGCGTTTTTGTTTTTGTGAGTTGTAGAATCGTGTGATATCAAGCATTAACAAATTGAATGTTTGTTAAAATGATTCATATTTAATCACAATTTCTTTGTTTTCAGTTTAATTGTTTTTAATCTAAGAATTAGCAAATACATACATCTGTATATACGAAAGAGTTTAAACTGATTGACTGACTGAGTAAAAGATTGACTGACTGACGGACTGACTGACTGACTGACTGATTGAGTGAAAGACTGACTGACTGACTAACCGACTGGCTAAATGATTGACTGACTGACCTACTGGCTGACTGACTGAGTGACTGACTGACCTATGGCGACTAACCGTACTGCCTAGACCGTAAAAGCTACGAAGCTTTAATTTTTACTGCAGCTTATTTTTCGGTCAAAGATCGTATGAAAACATAAAAACCACGCAAGCCCATAATTTTGCTTTGCAAACGTGACGTCTAGGTGTACGAGCATCGGACCAACAAGCGAGAGGTCGCCGGTTCAACTACGCCAACTATTGTTTATTTGGTTAATTAGTTTTTTATTTTTCATAACGAAGAAAGCACAATTACTTATTTAAAAAAATAATATTATTTATATTATTAATATATAATATACTAGCGGGTATAACCCGGCCTTGCCCGTGGTACGTATGTTATAAAATCAATGTTCTCAAACAAATTTGAAATGATTTTGAAACTGATCGGACGGTAAACAAATAACTTTCATACAAACGTTTTCCGCCAATTTACCACTGTTGCGAGTGGAATTTCCCAAATCGCTGAAACACGTATTCATTACATTCTTATGTAGAGCTTTGAAAATAGGTTTGAAGCAAATCGGACACAATTTAAAACTTCGCACAACAAATCTTTGAGTCGCATTCCACCCGAAAAAGTTTGAATTCTGCGAAAAGTGTGAAACACGTATCAAATGATTTTTCTTATAGATCTCTGGAAATGAAATTGAGCGCGAAACGTCACCCACCAAATCTTTGACCTCCATTTCCACCAAGGAGGAACGTATTTTTCGAAAAGTGTGAAACACCCCTTAAATGAATTTGAACAAAGATCCTTGAAAATAAGTTTGGGGCCGATCGGATGGTAAACAAAAAACTTTCATACAACCGTTTTTCGCCAATTTACCACTGTTGCGGGTGGAATTTCCCAAATCGCTGAAATACGTATTTATTAAGTTCTTATGTAGAGCTTAAAAAATAAGTTTGAAGCAAATCGGACACAACTTAAAACTTCGCCCAAAAAATCTTTAAATCGCATTCCCCCCGAAGAAGTTTGAATTCTGCGAAAATTGTGAAACACGTATCAAATGATTTTTCTTATAGATCTCTAGAAATGAATTTGAGCGCGAAACGTCACCCACCAAATCTTTGACCTCCATTTCCACCAAGGAGGAACGTATTTTTCGAAAACTGTGAAACACCCCTCAAATGAATTTGAACAAGGATCTTTGAAAATAAGTTTGGGGCCGATCCGATGGTAAACAAAAAAGTTACATACAAACGTTTTTCGCGATTTTGCCACACTTGCGGGTGGAATTTCCCGAAACCCCGTCTTAACGTGCACCTACATCACATAAGGTAGCTACAGTGAAAATTTCAGCTTCCTAGCTCTTACGGTTTGGGCTGTGCGTTGATCACCAATCAGTCAGTCAGTCAGTCAGTCAGTCAGTCAGTCAGTCAGTCAGTCAGGACAAACAGTTTTATATATAGAGATGTATGTATATATATAAATATTATGTTTTAAATGAATATTTTGTTAGATTAAATATTGATTTACATTTTCGCGACTCTCTCAACAATATCAAATTTAAATTTGATAAATTTTAGCTCTTTGTAAGTAGCGCATTCAAACGTCAACAAAACCAACCTTTAATAATTGAAATGTCTTTTGTTTTTTTTGCTAATTATTCGAGCGTATAATTTATTATTATTAATTTGGACTTTGTCTTCATGCCAGACTTAAATAGAAATGAATATCAAATAGTGTCTTATCTGCGAGCAAACAAGCCCACAAATAAATATTCAAAAATGCATAATTCGATTATTGGGTCAGGTTTGAAAACCAGTCTTGAGATGAGCACGGGAGACGTCATAGCCATGACGTAGAGCTCAATATGATAACTAGATATGCAATAGGTATACGAAAAAAAAGTAGCTAAACACGACAATCATTAAGAGAGAGAGGCTACGAGATATACGAGTTTGCTTTGAAGTTCAGAGATGAGGTTTTTTTTTTTTTTGGGACTGGTTGGGCATATACAAAGTGTGTGGGTCGAAGAGTAGTAATTAATATAATGGTGCATGGACAAAGTTCAAGTCAAGGCAAAAAAAAGCTACCAAACACGATTCAGTGAGAAATTGACGACGGAACGAATCGCACTAACAATTGGAAGTGCAGCAAATTATTTAGTGAGTTTCACAAAGAGGTAGCTAGACATAAATATTTTTATTTATTTATGTTAGTCGCTAGACAATTGGCCTGGCAACCCGACATAGTTGACAAGTTGTCTGGGTATTTGAGCCCCCGATCCACACGGTTGACGCAGTTGCCATTTACGTTTCGTTGACCGAAGAGCTCGGGAGTTCACAACCCGGAGTTCCGTTTGCAGATAAACTGTCTCTGAGAAGTCGCGTGCGTAAACCAAGTCAAAGTCAAGAGTATATAACATACAGCAGTTCCACAAGGAGCTCAAGAACATCAAGAACACATTATCTGAAGCCGGACTCATTGGTTATCAGTTGGTGACGAAGGCGCTGCCGGGGGTTATCATCGCACTTGACCAATATTTTGTTTGCTTTTGTTTTTGTGCGTTTCGGTGATTCAATTGAAAGTATTACACACAGATACACAAATACAAATACGTTGAAAATAACATGCCGTAATCAGCATAAGCGCATATGTTTTACAGTTTCATATAACACGACAAAGTTTCATTCGCGCAGCCCAATCAACGCATCGGCAGTCAGCATTTGTGCCTCACAGCGATCACAACAATAGAAATCATACAGTGCATATTATATAGACTATATATATATAAATATATATTTGTATACATATAGGAAAAATGTCATTAGCGTTGGGTCCGAAGCAGCTGCAGCTTTTTGCACTGTGCCTTTGTCTGGTTCCACTGGCGATCAATGCGGATTTATCATTTCTCTTCGGAAATATTACGCTCTTCAATGTGAACTTTAAGACCCCAACTTTGCTGGGCCGCTCCCTAACGGTGAAGAGCAATGTGCATATTGATAACAGTGTGGATCCCAATATACAGGAGGATTCACATTTGAATACGGTAAGTACAAATGCTTGAAATATGTTCAGCTAGTTTTTTCCAAAAATTATCTCCAAATATTCAAATATTTATTATATAAATTATTATTTATATTTGTATTTTTGGATTTTAAATTAAATATAATATATATTTTAATTAATATATAATAATTTTCATATTTTAATTAATATATAATATTGTTACCAAAATAAGAAGCATTAATTGCAATTTTACCCAAAATCGTTTAGTTCATTTATTTGTAGAATTGTTTAAGCCAAATGATGATTGATGACAGATGATAATTAACATATCATTCAATTGTCATTAATTATCCGTAATAACCGGTTATAATAACGCCTAATTTTTGACAGTATATTGCGCATTCGATTTTTGAAACAATTATCTTTAATCTTGTTTTAGAATGATATAATAATTTTATTTTCTTCTCAAAAAAACCATGTTCAAAGCCGGAAAAGGGCTGTAATATCGTATTTATAAGTACAGTATATAAAATATCATGCTTATTATTATTATTATTTTTCCGCCTACAGTATAGTCTAATCAAAAAATATGGCTATCCGGCCGAGAACCATACTGTAACAACTGACGACGGTTATGTATTAACCCTGCACCGCATTGCAAGGCCTGGAGCAACGCCTGTCCTTCTGGTGCATGGTCTATTGGATAGCTCTGCCACATGGGTGATGATGGGTCCAAACAAGGGTCTAGGTATGTCAAATGCAATTCTATATAAAAACCCAGCAATAAACTTGTGCATTTTGCAGGCTACTTGCTTTATGAGCAGGGCTACGATGTGTGGATGGCTAATGTGCGGGGCAACACGTATTCTAGAAAACATATAAAGTACACGCATCTGCATGCCAAGTACTGGGATTTCACATTTCATGAAATGGGCGTGTACGATATACCAAAAACAATTGATTATGTACTCAATAAGACGGGTTTTCCCCAACTACATTACATTGGACACTCCCAGGGGACCGTTGTCTTCTGGATTATGGGCAGTGAGCGACCCGAGTATATGGATAAAATCATATGCATGCAGGCTCTAGCGCCAGTTGCCTATTTAAAGCACTGCAAGAGTCCTGTCGTGAATTTCCTAGCCGAATTTCATGCGTCGGTGAGCGTAAGTCCTTCTATGCGATTCTCATGGCGCTTACTTATACAGCTGTTTTCCCATTCTATTACAGATTGTGCTCAAGCTGATTGGTGTACATGAGTTTTTGCCCAAAAACGAGTTTATTGTGATGTTTAACCAGTTGATATGCGATGAGACCACAATCACCAAAGAAATATGCTCCAACGTGATCTTTCTAACCACGGGCTTTGATAAGTCGCAGCTAAACGAGACCATGCTGCCCGTTGTGGTGGGGCATGCACCAGCTGGCGCCTCTACCAAGCAAATGCAACACTTTGGCCAAGTGCGTAGGTCGGGCGACTTTCGGCAGTTCGACTATGGCTGGCTGAGAAATCACTGGCGTTACAATAGCATTACCCCGCCTGCATATAAGCTGGAGAATGTCAAGGCCAAGGTCGCCTTATATTATAGCCAAAACGATTGGCTAGCGCAGCCGACAGATGTCGAGGCACTGCACCGAAGGCTGCCCAATGTGGTATCCCATTCTTTGGTCGACTATCCGGAGTTCAATCATCTGGATTTCATTTGGGGCGTCGATGCACGTGAACTGCTCTGGGATCGCATGCTGCAGAGTATGCGTTCTTATGACACCGACAATAACATAGATACTTCTAACTAATATAGGGTTTAAAATAACTGTTTAGTCTAGCTGTTATACTTACAGTATGAGCTCAATGCACACTATTGGCCATTTATGTATATATATATATTAAATATTTATTAACTAAGGTTAGAGTAATAAAAACAGTTGCATGTGATATTTCATATATCATTGAAAGGGATTTTTATTATCTTTTGAATTTATTTTAAGTTTTATAAATTGCTTAAAAGGATATATTCACGATCAAAAAAAATTATATTGATCCATATTGTTTCTATCACTATTTTTTATACCCCCTATGGATTTACAGAATTAAATAAACACAAAGCCTTTATATACATATATAGCATATATAATATATATTTCGTCTATCTATCTGCATTTCTCGATCAAATATTCCACACAATTCCAATATGGTACCCTCAAATATCCTATATAGCCAAAGGTTGAAATTTCCGACTTCGATAACTCAGTCAAATTTCATCATCTTTAATAGGGTTTGAACAAGTTTTGAGCTGAAGCTCAATTTGGCATCTAAGTCTTGCAACATTATAATTGGTCAAAATTCATGTTAAAATGGTAAATATCCTATATAGACATAGGTCAAAATTTCCCACCCACTTAACTCGGTCAAATCTCATCAGATTTTCACGAGGTTTGGCACTTTGTTCATGGTTGAACAATTTTGCATATAAATCTGGCAGCATTATTCTTGTTTTTAGGTTTTTTCGATTTGCTTCAAACTCATATTCAAAGCTCTATATAAGCTCCAAATGAATACAGCTATTTGGGAAATTTCGCCCGTAACAGTGGTAAATCGGCCTACCGTCCGATCGGGCAAGGCCGGGTTATACCCGCTGGTATATTATAAGCAGATCAAGTTACTTGGGGCTTATTACTTCAATTCCCTAATTTGTAGGCATACCTCGGGAATTTTCTTGAACTTAAATATCGCAAAGGCTTGAATGCTCTTCTTTAAAAATATACTGTTAAGTATATTAGTTCCAGCATAAAATCTTTTGCAGATGCAATAGAAAAAAAAATGTTTTTGTCTATCTTAAAAAATTTTTTTAATTATTTTTATATATAATTTCTCTTTATGGCTTGTGCATGTTTGTTTACAATTGAAGAGCGCGAGTGTTGCCACATGGTTCATATTTTAAAGGTATGCCATCTGTAAATATAGCATAAGCTAGGGCATTTTAAAAATTATTAAAAGACAAATCGTACACTGTAAAATGCATGAAATCAGCCGAAATCCCAACGTCCCGATTATGTTTTGTCGTTCTAAGCAACTTATCGCGGATATTTATTTAATATACATATCTTATAGTCAACAGTCAATTCTTCACAACTATTAAAAATAGTTAATTTTATATTAATTCGCAACCAGTTTACGTTTTGGGCTTATGATAAGGGTTATATTTGTTTAATATTTGCAACCGATTTGTCACAGGTTAGTTTACAGATCTACCCCAACTGATCACGTAACTGTTGCAGTTTACATTGATATATTTCTAACTTGTTATTTTCCACCTGATAGCTGAATACCCTTTTCTATGGTTAATGTTTTGAACATTTGGCAAGGGTATGAAAATGGTTTTATGACCAGAAAATTAACGATATAAAGTAAGAGGGCTCGAGCTGTTGGTGATACGACTACGAGATACCCTGAATATCGAGAACTAAAATATGGTGTATCTAGCTACTATAATTCTCGAGTTATGCATATAAATCTATGTCTCAAAATCAATATTAATCGAAACTACGAAAAGGAGATTTTGAAAAATTACCTGTTTTGTGTAAAAATGTTAAGCTCGTTCTGCGTAGGATATAGAGGACTAAATATTTTAAATTAAAAACTTTCTCTAGCTTTTGAAGTTAGGCAGATCGATGCAATCCTGATCAAGAATATATGCACCTCACGCCTGTCTTACATACAGTTGCACGAAATCAATATACCCTTTTGAACCATTTTCAATGGGTTCAGCGTACAAAAGCTAAATTAAGATAAGCAAAATATCTGTCTATAAAGTTAAAGCGATAAATACTTATTTTAGATGGATCGAATCGGCGATAATATTTGCTATAAAATAGACGATGTAGTAAAAATGTGGTTCAGTTAGGTAAAGTTTTTGAAGTTGGCTGGATTACTATTTAACTGGAGGTGAATTTCGGTAACAACGACTCAATTTAAAGAATTTTTATTTTTAAATATATATATAATATATAAATATATTTTACGAATATAAATATTAACTAATGACAATTGTTTCATAACAGGTAAAATATATATTTCTTATTGTCATCTGATTTTTCAAGAGGTAACCCAATTGTTAACGAAAAGGTAAAGAATCTATATCTGAAGTAAGAAAAAAACAGTTTAAAGAACCACATTAATATATAAATTATAATTGTATGCTTAAAAAAAAAACGGTGCTCCATGAAATATAGACGTAGCTATATATTTTAGATATCATTGGAATAATAAGATGTCTCGACGAGTTGCCTTACTTATATGGATATTTTTGCATGCAACGCTCGCACAAGATGATCCCATTAAAGAAGATGCTGACCTTAGTACGGTAAGTTAAATTTAATTCCAGAAACGAATTTAATTATTATACTCGGTTCACATATTACACGAGTTTATATTGGGCTTGTGCGGCAAATTCGACTGTTCATATCTAAAAGTATTATGAAGAAATAGAATCAAGAATCTAAACAAAGTTATTTATAATTTATTTTTGTTGAAGAGTAAGATTTTTTAGATAAACTTAAAGTCGACTTACATATATATTTATACGAGAAAAACAAAGACATAATTAGAAAAATTTATCCATAAACAAAACTATTAATCAAAATGTAATATTCCTTAAAAATATTTCTAAATATTTGTGTTTGCCTTCGTACTTAATCCTATTTTCCTAACTATTGCAGGTGGAGCTAATTGAAAAGTACGGGTATCCAGGCGAAAGTCATACGGTGGAGACTGAAGATGGTTATTTTTTGACCATGCATCGAATCCCAAGACCCAACGCAAAGCCTGTTTTGCTGATGCATGGTCTATTGGATAGCTCTGCCACGTGGGTGATGATGGGACCCGAAAAGGGACTAGGTGGGTAAAATTAACCTTTAAGACTGGTATTTTTAACTATAATCACCTATTTTCTCCATTCAAGGTTACTGGCTCTACGACCAGGGCTACGATGTGTGGATGGGCAATGTGCGTGGCAATGTGTATAGTAGGAAACACGCCAGTTACACGCCCGATGAGAGCGAGTTTTGGGATTTCTCGTTTCACGAAATAGGCATCTTTGATTTACCAAAAATCATTGATTATGTACTTGAACAAACGGACAATACGGATCTTCACTACATTGGACACTCACAGGGCACCACATCCTTCTGGATAATGGGTAGTGAGCGTCCCGAGTATATGGAAAAGATCAAGTTCATGCAGGCCCTGGCTCCGGTTGCCTTTTTTAAGGATAGCAAGAGTCCTCCATTGAATTTCTTGGGTGCAACTAAATTATCCTCAACAGTAAGTTCTCTTCTGTGCTTACCATTTTTGGTTTTGTCTAAAGTTTAGATCAATGATTCGTCTTCCAGCTTTTACTGCAGATGCTTGGCCCAAATGAATTCCTACCGAAGAACGAATTTATAGAAACGATCAGTGCAGCGGTTTGCGATGGGACGGAATTTGGCGCTCAGCTCTGCTCGAATACTCTCTTCCTGTTCACGGGCTTCGACCAGGAGCAGCTGAATGAGACCATGTTGCCGACGATCCTAGGACATGCTCCCGCTGGAGCCTCCACCAAGCAAATACTGCACTTCGGCCAGATGAGATCACTGAACGACTTTCGCAAATACGACTATGGCCCATTGGAGAATCAATTGCGATACAAAAGCTTGCTTCCACCCAAATATAAGCTGGAAAATGTGAGTGCCAAGGTGGGCTTATATTATGGCCAAAACGATTGGCTGGCTCAGCCCGCAGACGTGACCACGCTTTACTTTCAATTGCCCAATGTGGTATTTAAATATCTGGTGGACTATCCAAAGTTCAATCATCTGGATTTCATGTGGGGCATTGATGCACGGGAGCTGCTCTACGATCGCATGCTTGAGAGCATGCGTTATTATGAGAACGAGCAAATGATCAATTAAAACTTGGCACAGCCTTGAGAAAGAAAATCGAAATAAAAAATTAATCAAAAAAATTAAAATAATATTGGCTGCTTTTGCTAAAAAACATTGCCAGTTTATAAATGATTTAGCGAAATTATAACTATAATATTAATGAATTAGAACTAATATATATAGCCTATAGTTCTCAAAAACGGACTAAAATTAAAATCAGGGTATACAATATTTTCTTCTTTTCTTAAATATTGTGTAAATATGTTTTTTAATGTTATTGAATGAAAACTGTCGCAGTTAGTATTATATTTATGACTAGCTGTGCGTGTAAAAGGGTTTCTTAATAAAAATATATTACTTGTGTAAATATTCTGCTAGAAGCTGGGCGGCCGCATCACCAAGCCGCCAGAAATGCATTTTAAGCGCGAAATTTTGCATTATCCCTGGTATCTAACGAGCTACCAGGGCTGGTATCTACGCCATAAAGGCATAGAGTTTTTTTATATTATTTTTTTATATAAAAATAATATAAAATTTAAATTTAAATTTAAAGGGAAAAGAATGTTTTATTTTGATTTATAGTTAAAATTGAATACAAATTTTAAATTATATATCTAATTTTGATCGCATTAATAAAGCGAATTTACTGCAAATCCCTAAAAGAAAATCTCGTCTAGTTTGTCCCTATTTAAATGGAAAAATATTTAAAGCTGTATGCATATATGTATGTATGTATGCATGTATACATAAATTTAAAAAAAAAACGTATTCTTAACTAATTCCATTCTCATAAATTCAAGCAAGTCTCAAAGGCTTCAACTAGGGAGGTGACGGCAGCTTGAACAATGGAGGAGACGGCGGCCTCAACTTCCTTAGTTAAGCCTCCGCCTAAGGCTGCAGCTTGAGCAAAGGAGGAGGCAACGGCTTTAATATTTGAGGAGGCGGATTTAATTATGGAGGATGTTTTCAATACTGGACGAAACGGTGGCTTTTGGCGAAGATGGCGGAATTAACTTTAAATGTGGCCATTGGAAAAGGCTACGTTTTATAAACATTAATATGCCTTATTATATGTATGTGTATATGTTGAGCTGAGCTGAAAATTAACAAAGACCGTAGTTATGAATATTGCTCTACTACGCGATTCTCATTATTTGAAGTAAGCAAGCCAGCTGCATCTTTAACATTATCACTGCTTATAGCTAATAAGTTGAAAGAGGAGAATGCCAAGGGCTGGTGCAGCCCAATATCGTATTAAAATATTTTCTAAAATATTCTGAGTTCAATTATAATTAATAATTGAATTATAAAAGATAGTCTCAATTGGGGCATTGATGGACGTGAGCAGCTCTTCGCATTAGATCATGGTGAGGAAAAGGAGTACAAATTATAAAATCCTTGAGAATAGAGTCAGTCAGTAAATAAATATAATTGAAAATATACATTTTAAACTTCAGTTATGTGTCTGCTAGACGACCAATGCAGACTCGAGAGACTTTGATTGTTCTCTGTGAAAAGGTATGTTTATTTTTGCAAGTTGCCAAGACCGTCCCTTACAAAATTAAATATTAGGAAAGGCTTTCTAATACAATTAGTTATTTTGTATATTTCTACGGTAGAGTGAATTTTTAAAGCTAGCATTATGGTAAGTATTAGATATATAGTGTGTCATTATGCAAATGGTTAATACAAAACAATACCTTTTTAAATGGTAGCTAATGCAAATAGCATGCAATTATATGCTTAGTAGCTGTAATCTAGCTAGTTCTCACTTATATGATTCATCCCAACGAATATGGCAATTATAATACTTACTTCAGGTTTATGAAACATTGCAAAATATCAAAATCTGATATATGCCACATGATGCATATAAAAATAATATGATACTTCAAAACGATAACAATTTTAAACCTTAGATAATATTTACTATATATATTTAATTTACCAATCTACTGATTTGTTCACTGTAACTTCTATGGCATATAATCGTACTTGAAATCGTTAATAAAGGTTGCAAGGGTATTTTATATTTGATCACTCACCAAATTGTCTTTGGTTTAATTGCTAACAACAAAGTTGACAATATGTGGTCCTAAGTCGCATATTTGCAGTAAAGATCAATGCGCCTTAACTTTTATACATATATGGAAATTAAAATAATTACACGTGTATATATACAGACGAATCACAAGACAATTATACGATCACAAACGCTATCAGAACTGTAAATACAAATATTAACAAGTACGACTTCTCTAGTCGGGAGGGACTGACTAGGGGATAGCACTTATATTGCTGACTTTTTCAGCAGTAGATCTTATTGTCCGAATAGAATATTCGTATATTCTCAAAAAGAGGCGTGGCAATGGCTATAAAATTAAAGATACTTGATTTAAAGTTACCAGATCAAGAAGCTACATGCCACATTTTGTGACTCAGGATCTGGATGCTCAAAAAACAGATTTTCGATATGAACTCTTATCGATGGTTTGGAAACAGGGCAAGTTATCAATCATATTACTGATCCTACTCTACAAAATATATATCCTCAACTATATCTTTTCTAAAACAAAGTAATGTCCACCAACTCTTGTAAATATGTCCACCATAAACAAAACTTGTGTACCTTTTTCTTTTCAGCTCGGATTTCTTTCGGATTACACTCGGATTCTGTACATAGCCGAAGATTTATATTTTTCTTAGCTTAGCCATAGTTGTAACTGAACTATCCTATATATAAACAAATAATGCGATTAACTATATTAATTGAATAAAAAAAGCAGCGAATTGACGATAATAAATTGATTGAATGGATCTGTTGTATTTGTAATGAGGTTCTAACTTTTATTCTGAACTACGAAACTTGTTTGACATTGCACCAGGAGATAAAAACTAACATTTTTCCGATAAATATTTTGCATTATTTTACATATAAATTACGTTCGCGTGATTTCCTCAACTGACATTGGGCCTGATCAGTTAATAAGCATTGTCCGAGTCAACTATCGGCTACTTATGTCAAGCACCTCAGTTAGCTGACCGATCAGTGACAACGGATCGCGCGCCGAGCACAGTTCAAATTGGAAAACACGCAAAGTAACTGTTCTCAGGAAATAAAAACCTACTAAAATCAAATACTTAAAGCAATATCAAGCAACATCATGAATTAACTGAAAACTTAACAGTAAGTCGCTTTCTTAATGTGGCATTGCGCCGAAAATCAATTCTAAATGGAACGAATCGTATCTAACGCTGGTTCTAAAAGTGACTAATTAAAAGACTAATTAATACTAAGTTCTCGACTTAATTCGTTAAAGATGATTTAAAGTGAATCGCAGCACTATTTACATACAAGCATTTGATGTGTGCTAATGTGGTGTATACGTGATTAAAGTGTGATTATTAGCCCAATATTAAACAGCTTAGCTATAATTATGAGATTAGTACAGAAGTCCTTTTGAATGCCTGAATGGAAGGAATTAGTGTCAGATTCTATATTCCATTATAATGCTGAAAAATATATACTGTAAATAATATACTGTATTCCATTATAATGCTGGAAAATAATATACAGGTATTCATTTGGTGCACCCCGCTTTTAGGCTGTTTTCGGTTAATAAGTTTCCTTTAATATTTTAAGCTTTATTTAAATCTTTCTTCTGGTCAAATAACAAGTATTGAAAGAACTTCACCTTACAAAAAATATGAGGTCTCCGTGCTTTGTTTGGGAGCAGTGGGCAATAGAAAGCAGACTTTAAGAGTGTCCTATTCAAGTGGCAAGAATTCTCAAATAAACTAAATTGATATGAAAACATTTTCAAGACAAGTTTCTCAAGAAGTCAATAGAGAACAGATTCTGTTGTGCATTGCTATAAGTTTCAAACGGTTGGATCGGATTTCGATGGAGGTTTTGTTTATTTCATTGCTTGACAGATCTTTAAATCTCATTAAATTACTTTTTCTTGTTGTTGCAATAGCACGTTGTAGGATATTTTCCGATTACTTATTAAAATTAAATTATTTCTTGCGAATTTTTGTACCCGGATAAAAGTATATATATTCTAGATCAGCATCAACAGCGTAGTTGATGTTTCTATGCGAACTTTGCATAGGAACGTCAAAGAACCAATCCGATCGTACCACTATATTATATAGCTGTCATCTGATCGATCGGTCGAAATGTTGGTGCTTATATGGCAAAATATTCTTTTTTCCATGATATTTTCATCAAACTCAGCATTTACAAGCTTCAAAATTCTCACGTCTGCAAAAGGTAAATGTCTGCAAGTGTATTAAATCTTTGACGAAGAAGGATACCTTTCCGTTCATATAAATATAAATATAGTTCCTAATAATTATGGGACGAGTCAATATAGCCGTAGACCTCACTAAACTTGTCAGAAACTACAAAAGCGAACTTGATATCAAGAATCAAAACTATTTGCTATATTTATAAATTTACAGCTAAGTATTTTCTATAAATATTAATGCGTATATTTAGTGGCTATCTAGTCTAACCTAGACTGAATCTTGACTACTCTTACTTGTGCTATTTTTTCTGTGCGAAGGTGAAACATTACAGGTTTTATGACAATTCGCAAACTAGTTTCCATCATATCAAATTCACTTTCAGCTTTTTGATATTGAACTTGAACTTGGCATGCAACAAGCTAATTAATTAATTCACAATTCTATTATATTTGTTATATTTTTACTAGCTTGTTTATATTCTCTGGGCTAGTGGGTCAAGCGGATATATTATTTTCAATTGATGCACTAAGCCGGGAACGCTAGATCATTGTACATTTAATATAATAATAACATGTCTCGGTTATACTATTGCCTGATCTGGCTAGGCTTGCATGCAAATCTGATGCTCGCCGATATTCTCAAGTACGACCCAGCCATTATAGAAGATGCGCATCTGCGAACGGTAAGTATTGTTTACATCAAGTATTATTTAATTATTAGCAATAATTGTATATTGTTGCAGCCTGGACTTATCAGAAAGTATGGCTATCAGTTTGAAGAGCATAAAATTGATACCAAGGATGGCTTTCGATTGACGGCACATCGCATACCCAAGCCAGGTGCTCAGCCTGTGCTGTTGGTGCATGGACTCGAGGATAGCTCGTCGGCCTGGATCTTGTCGGGACCAGGTCGGGGCCTGGGCTACCTGCTCAGCGATCGCGGCTACGATGTCTGGATGCTCAACACAAGGGGCAATCGCTATTCCCGCAAGCATCGCAAATACCATCCTCTGCACCGCCAGTTCTGGGACTTTTCGTTCCATGAGCTGGGCATTTATGATCTGCCCGCGAGCATTGACTATGTGCTAGCCAACAGTAAGGGCTACAAGCAGCTACACTATGTGGGCCACTCGCAGGGCACCACCTCCTTCTTTGTGCTGGGCGCCGAGCGACCCACTTACATGAAAAAGATCAAACTGATGCAGGCACTTGCGCCCGTGGCCTATTTCAATAATGTGCAGCAGCCACTGCTCAAGGCTATTGCTCCCTATGTACCCGACATTATGGTAAGTCAGACTATATATATATACATTTCCATGTATAAAACTGTCTTGAAGAAACTCTATAAGGGAGCTGAAAATTTGCATGTAGTTACCCCGCAAAAGCGGGGTTTTGGGAAATTTCACCCGCAACTGTGGGAAAATCGCGGAATACATTTGTATGAAACTTTTTCGCATACCATCCGATTAGCCTCAAGCCCATTTGGAAAGTCCTTTGCTGGTTTACGTTTTTAAGAATCGTCCGAACGGCTTTTAAGCGCATAATAGAAACGAATGCATAAGTGGAACTGTGGTAAATAGGAGGAAAGCTGTGTTATGATCGATTTTTGGTTATCATCCAATTGGCTTCAAACTGGTTTTATAGAAAATTCGTTTGTGATTCACACGTTCCCAAAATCCACCCCTCAATTTCCAATTTCAATTGGAAATGCCAGTCTTTCAAAAATCGATATCAAATATAAGTTGAGACGTGAAGTTCAAGGTGGTATAGGTAGATTTTGGTTTTTTAAGAGCGCGAAATGGGTGGAAAATTGATGTGTAAAAGAAGGGAAATACCAAGGAAAGAATTTAATAGAAATTAATAGGTAAATGTTTTAAAAATGGTATTAAGAGTTTTTTCTTTCATATTTTATTCAACGTTACGTTAATATTTTAGTTTAAAATTTAATTAGCCTTAAATCATTCTTTTTTTATCCATTGGCTTGCACTCCATGCTTTTAAGATCTTACAAAAATATTAAAACATTTAAATATTGTTGTTATAATTTTTAAATATTTTTCTTTTAATTAAACAATCGTTAATGATATTTTGACTACTTGACCTTGATTGCCTTTTCATGAGCTAGCGCTTACTTTAAATTTTCTCTTTAAAGCCTATTGAGAGCTAAAGTAATTCTCGCGATATTTTGCAGCGCTTGTCTCAGATCTTTGGAATCTATGAATTTCCACCGGAGAGGGAAGTGTGGCGCGAATTGAACTATAATCTCTGCAGTTTTGCCTTTCGAAACACATGCACCTATCTTATAATGCAATTAATGGGCGTGGATTTCGAACAACTTAATAGTACGCTCGTGCCAATACTGCTGGGCCAATATCCGGCTGGCTCATCCGTCAAGTCATTCGGCCATTATTCTCAGCAGGTTAGCAGCGGTGGCTTCATCAAGTATGACTATGAGAATCCCTATATAAATCAAAGACGATACGGCAGTGCCAAGCCACCAGCGTACAAGTTGGCCAACATTAACTGCAAAGTGGCCTTGTATTATGGCCAAAACGATGTCCTAACAGCTGTCAAGGATGTGCAGCGTTTGCGCGATGAGCTGCCAAATGTCGTTCATGATGAGAAATTGGCCTACAAGAAATTTAATCATCTCGACTTTATATTTGCGAATGATGTCAAAGAGTTGCTCTACGACAGCATGTTCCAGGTAATGGCAAGAGTCGACAAGGGGGAGCTTTAGTTCAAAAGTTGAATAGGATTAATCACATACAGCCATATGAAATAATTTGAAAATGTGAGCACCTTAGTATCCCTAGTCATTTGTGATTTGTAAGCCGTGAGTGATTTTTAATGAAAAGTTTATAGATATAAGTACATATTATATTTTGTACATTTGTATGAGATTAACAACTTTTAGGTCGCATTGTTTATAAATCCATCTAATCATGTTTAGCTTGATATAAAGTCTAATCAAATTTAGCTTGATTTAAAGTTTGTTAATTATTTCCTTTCTCCCTTTGTCTTCTTTTAAATTTGAGTTAAGCCTATAAAATAATAATGTAAATATTTTGTTAATTTTCTCAGTTACTTTCACAATTCTGTTCCATCTATAATACAAATATAACTAGCTTACCTATTCTTGAGGAATATTTGATTCCAATTTAGGAAATTATTTTTACAATACCTCCAAAATAATTTAAAGAAATTATTTGGCAATTGCCATGGACTTGCACCTGTTTCAGATATGTTAAAAACTTGTTTAAGTATGTGTACATATTATATTTTTATTGAAAGTTAGATAAAAGGAAAGAAACTTCTTGAGCATATAGTTTATACACATATTTAACTCATACGAATTTGAAATGGATATTTTTAAATAATTAAGATTATTCGTTTTTAGAATAACCCATAAGAGTTATAACTTTTTAGCTTTGCAAATAGGTAAAACATCATATAATATTTTAAGTTCTTGAATTTCACAACCTTATAGAACTTCATATAATATAAAAAGCTGTATAAAGTAGGCTCTGCCAGTTTTGTTTGAGCAAAATGTATAGCTTATCAAGTAATTGTAAAAAGTCCAGATAGAATTTTAACTTGTTTAATAGTTTTAAAAAAAAAAGTTGTATTGGTGTTTTTATTTAAGCATGAAGTTGTATGTGTTCTATTTACTGTGTAGCCGATGAATATTCGGCGGTAATTATAAGTTATTTACTTTGTAACCCTTATTCAATTGATTTTATCAGTAATATTAATATTCATTATTTTATTTAATTTTGTTTTATTTTTTCTATTTTGGATACCCTTGCACAGGTATTATAATATCGTGGCATTAAAATGGCAGCCAAATATGGGTAAATGCCAAAGCCTAAGACTATAGTTCCACAAGAAAGTTAGTCACAATTATTGGAAGAATGAGGAGAATCTTAAATTGTTATCTTATAAGGGTATTTGATCTTCGACAAGTGCAGCTGCTTTTTCTTCTGTTTGCACTTCAGTAAATTCATTAGTTTTGGGCGAACAACTGAAAAGCGACTTAAGTATTGAAGCTTTTGCATTATTATGGCTATTTAATATGTTATAAGCATGGACGAAGCTATTCAAAATACGGTTTCGCCATAATTCAGCAATATGTGAACAATTTTCATTTTGTGGCAATGTGTTGCAAGCAGCTGAGTGCAATTAAATGCGAGTATTTGCCCAGCGCCAGCTGAAGTGACTGCCCAGCCACTTAAAACAGACACTTAATTGTACAAATATAACTATATTTATATATTAACATATATTTATATATATGGTCATACAAATATTTCTAAATGTATTTTAGCATAGCGCAAAATTATTGTAATTTTCTATGGCAGTGGGAGGTATTGAAATGGAAAATCAAATTAAATATTTAAATCGGACAGAGAAGCCTGTGGCTTGCCAAAAGTACGAGTGGCTCCTCTCACATGTGTGCATGTGTGTGTGTGTGTGCAGGACGAAAAGCTCTCTATAACTGTGGAAAATTTATTGCAAGTATATTTTATTTAAATGCTTTCCATACTGACAATGACAGTCGCCGGTCTGCAAGGGGTGCGGGCAATGCAAGAAATGTCCAGTGACAAATGCAAAAGCTGCCAAAAAATAACCCAACACAAAAATTGCATTGGCATGTGCGCGAGTGTGTATATGAGAGTGCGTGTGTGTGTAGTTGTGTTCTCGGCAACCACAAGAAAATAAAAGTGTCATTTTATAAATGCAAACTTAATCATTTGCAGTCTGCATTTCGACCATAAAACCAAACAAAGCCAATGCGATTCGCCCCAAACTCTTAATTGTTTTTCAAATAAAAACGTTACAAATTTGCACGACAATTTATTAAAAGCATTAAAAAACTGAAATCGTTTGGCCGAAAATTGTATACACTAGCATCCACTAGCTACAGGAAAATATGACCCACTTTTTGAAGAGTCTGGAGTTTATGAAAAGTTTATTGAGACCCATTTCCGTTTGGGCAAGACATGTGGCCATCTTGTTAATCGTTTGATCAAAAAGATATCGAAATGTTTTTCCTAAAGTGAAAAGTTGTTTAAAATCGATTAGGAAAAGGTTTGCATAGACAGACTTGGAACATGAGTTGAATCCAGTTATTCATGCCCCAATCAGGATGTCCTCTCCCCTTTCTTTTTTAGAATGTAAGAAACTTCTTGTCAAAATTAAAGGACACTTTTAAATTTTATAAAGATGACGATGGAATAAACATTGTAATTCATATGCTGCCCTAGGAAGAGCCTTTTAAGCCTATTTTGTTAACTATCTTAAAATGCAAATGAATAATATAAATAAAAATTAAATTAAAAAAAAAAACTGCTACCGTATTTTTTTATTGTCTTATCATTTTTTTATTTGAAATCAAAATGTTAATTTTATAAGGCACAGTTATATTTTACTGTGTTTTCTTTAATGTTAATAATTAATATTATTTGCTGCTTTGCTACGGGCAATTACTGAAAGCCTTTTATACTTAAAAGCTTTTGAGTAGTATAAAACATGAGATAACTTTTCAACTTCAACTTTGTGGCAAATCTTGTTTTCAAACTAAATATTAGCTGAGTCGAGGTGCGGGGACTAGTTTATTGTCTTTAAATATATATTGTTCCGGTAGGTGGAGGTTGAATCCTCGAGCCAGCTAATAAAGATTTGAATATAGAAAGGTCGCCAAACCCAGCATTAAATATATGTTATATTATATTTTATATAGGATAGAGTGTAATATAATTTTTGAAAATTTATAAATTATTAAGCCAGGAGCTATACAAATTTTTTGCCACCTTTATAGAGTATACTTGAATTGTGGTCAAATCACGTCTTCAACAAACGCATGTTTGAACCAATTTTCAGCAGAGCTTTAAGGAGTTGGCTACGACTGGATGTTCGTTGTCATCGGCTCAACTATTCAAGCTCCTGTTTATTTGGTTTTTTGCAGCGATTGTTGCTGTTGTTGCGTGTGGCATAAAGTTCATGTTGTTTTTGCGGTTAAGGTTGAGTCTTAGAACCAGAAACGAAATCAGGCAAAGTGCATGAGATACTCGGCACTCGGCACTGACATATCAATCATGTCACTTGACCAAGCGGAAATCGAGTTTTGTTTCGTGCTGGCGCCTGTTAGGAACTTTCTCGCAAGCCCTATCAACATCAACTTAAACATGCCCGAATATTGTTGTGAAATAAATTCGTTGAACTCCTTTGGTCACCTATTGTTTGAGGCATTTACATGTTGGCCCCAACAGAGTTGTGCCTGCTCTCGATTTTTGAGTGGCCGTGCCGAGATGAAGAGTGTGGCGCTGTGTGTGTCGGGGTACGTAAGGTACCATTATGCCATGTCCTGCTGCGCAGCAAGTGATAAAAGCGACACTCTGGCAACTAACTAGGATTTGATGCTCAAACAAAAGCCGCTTTCCAACCAGAAACCAACAGCAGCAAAACCAATCGAAGTCAGTTCAAGTCTTATGTTCCGATTTGCATTTGAATGAGAAATGGGAAGTGGGCAAGTTTGCATTTCGAGTTTTTTTTTTTTATTTGGGTATACCCTATACAAATATTAAAGTTATGAAAGTGTATGTTACATACAGTTGTTGATATACTCGTTGTTAATACTATATATATATACTCTATACTCTTTACTTCTTATGATCGTATATCTTCCTGATACTCTCAGAGCTAAAGACATCGAACTTTCATGGAGGCATTTAATGAATGGAGATAAGATAACAATTTCTAATTGGGTGTGTACAGGGTATCTTCGTATCGGGTACTCTCAAACTGAAGCAATCTAGTTTGCTATCTTTGTTGTTGTACCTTAGCTCAAGTGCTTGTACGTATGGGGTTAGGATTTTGTGGATCCTTTGTTTTCCATTTCTTTGCTTGAGAGCACAACAACAACAGCAACAACAACAACATAAACAAAAACTACTAAAGTTTTGGCATATCAGCAGGCAACAATTGAAAGTTTGAAATGTTCTTAGTTTAATATCGTTTCGTTCATTTTCCATATTTTTGGGCATCGATTAGTGGCTTAAGAGTTTAGAAACTGGTTTATAGCGACGAGAGTCTTATCCACGGCTAAAAGAAAATATTCATTAATTAAGGATTTTAGTTAAAAGACCTTATATGTATTTAACTGAATTTATAAGATTCGGCTTCTTTTACCAACCTGGCGTATCGATGATTTTAACTATATTCCGTACTTATAATAATAATAATTAGCTTGGAATTTGGGATTCTTAAATGAAATAGTATTTAGATATGTAATGGGTTTTGTGCTTTAGAAATTTTGAATAATTTTTACTTTTTTTTAGATTTATCAATAGAATATGAACTCTTTTCTAACATAGAAAGCTACTTGACCAATATATACTATTTTGGATATCGGGATTTCGATATCAATTTTTATCGATTGCCTAGTAACGAGGCAAGTTATCGATTACTCCTACTGCGTTAGTACTAGAAGGATCTACGATTGAAATTTCAAGTCTCTGGCTCTTATAGGTTTTGAGATCTTTGCGTTCGTACATACGGGCATACGATTCGGCTATTGATACTGATCAAGAATGGGGTCGGAGATGCTTCATTCTGTCTGTTACATACATTTGCACAAATGCATTATACCCTTTTTACCCATTTATATTTGGTTCAGGGTATAAGACAATTATTATACGAGTGTATGCCAAAAAGTATGCTATACTTTCTAAAAATTATATTATATTTTAATTATTAATTATAAAATTAATTGAATTTAAATCTTTTTATATAAATTCAGTCAATTATTTTTAACTAAATTAATGAATTGATTTTTTTCAAGTATAACTTATGTTTCAACAAATGTTGATTTATTTCTCTGCTTTCAATAATATTTTATTTTGGTAAGTTATTTAAATAAATACCATATAAGCTAATTCTGGGTTCATACTTTTCTACTTCCTTAAAGGAAGGCAAATATTTACGCCCCTCCCTCTCCCACTACTTCAAAACAAAAACAAACAAACGATGTTCTTTTAAAATCAGAAGAAAACTCTTTTCCAACCGTTTTCAGCTTTTATTACACCGAGCACACTTTTTATTTGTTTTTTAAACAATATTGATTATTTTAAGTAACTCAGTAATATTATTAAAGCACGGCGCACATAAATATTAATTTTGCTGCCTGAAAAAGAAGTTTACCACAAGCTGGCACATCCTCCACAACTTCTGCCAACCCCGACATGACCGAGTAGTTGTCCGACTGCTGCGCATAAAGTATTTGATTTCATAATCAAAAGCGCAATTTGATTTGGCCACAATTTAATTAAAGCTCGACTGCAAAACACCCTAAAAATGCTAAACAAAAGCTCCACGTCTCCCAGCCTCTGCTCTTAATTTTAACATGCCTAGTCCTTTCATTTCTATTCCCATATCATGTACACTGGTATCTTGTTTTGCCGGACAGCTAAAGAAGACTCTTGTTGGGGGAACGTAGCCAAGGGTGTGCGTGTTTGTGGGTTGGAACATCTGCAGGCTTCACAGAGTTTTACATGCGGCTTGAGTACATCAAAATGTCTAAAATTTCATAATTGCAACTGGTTATACTTTGTGGCTCGTGCCCCGAAGTGGGTTTTTCTTTGTGCCTTCGCTTGTGGATGCAACCAAATGCCGGGCAGCTCATATGTCCAGACCGAAAAACATTTAATTGCGTTCCTTTTTTCATTGTTTAAATTATTTTATTATTATTATTTTTTTTTTTTGCATCAC